GTTTGGTTTGTTGGCGTTTTTTCTTGCCAACTCCCTTGATTCCCTTTCTCCCCCCTCCCCACCTCATTGTTATCCACGGACTCCAGCCCACTTCCTCCCTTGCCCTTTCCGCTGGTCACCAATAACAAGGACAGTACAAATAGGGGAATGGGGAGCCACATGGGTGATAACAATACACTTCAGTAAGGTTGGAGGTGATCGAGTGTAATCAACGTCTCAGCCGCGGCCGTTGAATAGTTCATAAAGTGCAGGGTCTTAAAGTGCAATACAATAAACGTCACAGCTGCATGCCACGAGGGCAATTCATAAAGTGCAAAGATCTTAAAGTGCAACAAACCCAAGTCTGACCCTCAGTGCTACAAAAAGTGTGGCATGGAGGGGTAGGGGAAGGGAGCGTAAGTGCTAGAACGATTAGCAGCAAGAGAAGCAGGCGCTCTTAAAGTGCTATATTGCGTTCTTAGTATCAATTAGCAGCAAGATAAGCAGGGAACGTACTATGTTGGCAATATGTAAACACAGTCTTAAGGAGATTGGCAGTAATATCAGTTTGGTAAAATTTATGATTCAAGGTGTAATCTATGGACGACTGATGTGAAATAGCGAATGAGCCTCCCAGTCTTCCGGAGATGGATAACACGGCGGCGGTCAGCACAATTGGTCTATCACAATATCGGTCAGCACAGAGAGAGGTCAGCACAACCAGGTCTACACAATATCGGTCCACACAAAAAGGACAGCACAAAGGTCTACACACGACTTGCCCAGGTGGTGGCGGCCCAAATGTTAGAGATGGTAAAGGTCCAGGCGGCCAGGTCCCGACTCAGGCAGCCCAGGGCCCGATTCAAATAGCCCTCGCGGTGCAGCGGCCTTCTCCTCCTCCCCCGGAGCGGCGGGAGGAAAGGGGGAGTCGCGGTGGGGTCTAACAGGCTCGATGGATTCGCGGGGCGGCGGCCTTGCCTTCTCCTCCTCCCCCGGAGCGGCGGGAGGAAAGGGAGCGTCGAATAGACACTTGTTGAGGTTAATTCCTTCCATCTCTCCTTTCCTTATTACCACCCTCTAGCTAGATGCCTCTTACATCACGAGCTTCTCATCCTTGAAAGGAGAGAAAGGGGGAGGAAAAGGGGAAAGGAATAGGTAGGTACCTCTCTTTCATAATAGTCCAGATATCTACCTCTACTTCGGAAATTCTTACTGTAGGCCACAACAACGCATGGCAGGGCACAGCTAGTATATATATATATGGCTGGAGTTACACATTAAAAGTACCTGTTCAGACTTACATACAAATACAACTTAAGAACAAACCTATAGAACCTATTGTGTTCATAACTTGATGACTGCCTTTATCCACAACTTGCAGGTCTTTTAGGATGAGTAGCAAATTTATGTTCCAAAATGGAATACTTCCATGGATAGGAGTTCTTTTTTGAAATTTCTACCTTTCAAGTGAAGAAAAACTAGAAGATACAGCTACTGCAGCCACTTCCCTCCTCATGTTAACCATATAAAGTTTTGATTTCTAAAAAAAAAAAAACCTCAGGATTTAGCTGACTGTTCTGAAAAAGATAACGGGCCTCTGAAGTTGGCATACATTGGATGAATGTTACTTATCATCAGGCCGTTTACAATGGTTTGGATTGTACAGTAGATTTGCATCTAGACCATATTGGGATTTCCCAACTTTCTGCAGGTTATTTCTTTTTATGGTGGAACTTGATCTAAGCATCTATTAAAATGCCTTCCTGGAATGCTCTTGGCTTTTTGTTATGGAATTGCAACTATATTGGCCATTTGCACGCACCTTTGGGATGTGATAACCAAGCATATGCAACTCCTTCGCACACCGTCTGGGGACCCCAACAGGTAAGATATATTTGACCCGCTGAGCCTCATGAATCACAGCATTGGTGTAAGGCATTTTCTTCCGATCTTGATAGCTGACTGAGTGAGAGGAACCCAACACGTCTTCCACCTCTTTGTAGACTCTTTCTGAAACAACAGTGAGAAAGATCTCTTTTTTATCACAGGAAAATCAGACAACCCCTGAAGGACATTCACTCCACAATAAACAATCCCTCACTGTAGCTCCTATGTAAATTTAAATTTTGATATTTTCAGTAAAAAATAGCTCTGTGCAAACATATTTTATCAAGTACATTTTGTCTATTGGTCAAGGTAACAAGATCATAAGAGGCCGGTAACTCAAAGCATGAAAGTTTTCAATCATTGGCCATTCTTGGAGGGATGAGAATCTTCACAATTCAGGACTTATCCTGCATAAAATTCACATGTGTTTATCAAAACAGAAAACAGCCTTTTCTGCACAGGAAAGAGCATGTTCATATTTCCAAGTACTATAGTTTGTGCGGGAGCCTGGTGGCACAGCGAGTTAAACCATTGAGCTGCTGAACTTGCTGACCAAAGGGTTGGTGGTTCAAATCTGGAGAGCAGGGTGAGCTCCCACCGTTAGGCCCAGCTTCTGCCAACCTAGCAGCTCGAAAACATCCAGATGTGAGTAAATTAGTAGGTACTGCCTTGTTGGGAAGGTAACGGCGCTCCATGCAATCATGCCGGCCACATAATTTTGGAGATGTCTATGGCAGTGACAGACTTTGTATTTCTAAGTGAAAAGATTACTGCAGACGCAGACTGCAGCTAGGAAATTGGAAGATGCTTATTTCTTGGGAGGAGAACAATGACCAATCTCGATAAAATACTGAAGAGTAGAAACATCACATTGGCAATGAAGATCCGCGTAGTAAAAGCAATGGTTTTCCCCACAGTCACCAATGGATGTGAGAGCTGGACCATAAGGAAGGCTGAGCTAAGGAAGATAGATGCTTTTGAATTGTGGTGTTGGAGGAAAGTTCTGAGAGTGCCTTGGACCGTGAGAAGATCCAACCAGTCCATACTTCAGGATATAAAGCCCGACTGCTCACTGGAGGGAAGGATATTAGAGGCAAAGATTTTGGCCACATCATGGGAAGACAGGAAAGCTTAGAGAAGACAGTGATGCTGGGGGAAATGGAAGGAAAAAGGAAGAGGGGATGACCAAGGGCAAGACAGATGGGTTATCCTTGAAGTGACTGTCTTGACTCTAAAGGAGCTGGGAGTGGTGACGGCCAACAAGGAGCTCTGGCATGGGCTGGTTCAGGAGGTCACGAAGAGTTGGAACTGACTGAATGAATAAACAACAACAAACAGCACTGATCATTATGTATAAACAAATTGTACTTGTACCTGTATGTCCATGGATTTACTATCCTTGAATTCAACTGCCCTCTGAAGTCAACCATAAGACTGATGTGTTCCTTGATGAAAATGCGTTTGACATCCCTGCTATAGTTCCTGTTATCTAGGACTGTCTCAGTTATCAGGAAGGGAGAGAGGAGTTTCTTAATTTCCTATCTGAGAAAGAAGATTCTGTAGTGATTTAGACAATTGTCTTTGCAACTGTAATTTGTAGTCTGATGTATTATCTGCTCATTGGCATTTGATTTTACAGTTTAGTGGGGTCATTTTGATTTTCCTAGTGTTTTTTTTCTATCAAGTTTTGTAAACCTTTATCTAAAGACACCAGGAGGTGACAGTAATAGGGATGTTAAGTTTTCCTTTACCAAAAAACTCCAAAGGAAAGGGCAAGATGGATGGATGGTATCCTTGAAGTGACTGGCTTGACCTTGAAGGAGCTGGGGGTGGTGATGGCCAACAGGGAGCTCTGGCGTGGACTGGTCCATGAAGTCACGAAGAGTCAGAAGTGACTGAACGAATGAACAACAACAATGGGCAATGCCTGCTCTTCGGCTTAGAAATTGAGATGAGCACAACCCCCCAGAGTTGGGCATGACTAGACTTAATGTCAGGGGAAACCTTTATCTTTACCTATAGATAAAATTTGGGTGGTTTGCACCAAAAAAAAAAACCCAATACCAGTTTGCAGGGAGAATATTTGTTTGCTACTGCAGTAGAGAGAAAACACCTGCAATGATTCAGCTTCACACATAAGGATGAAATAGTCAATGGTAGGGTCCAAAACTAGTTGATATTGTTGTGTGCCTCCAAATCATTTCTGCCTTATGGGGATCCTAAAACAAGTAATTTCTGGAGTTTTCATGGACTGAGAGTGATCATTCTCAGGCCAGGATGAACAGCTTCAGAAAGCAACGATGACCAGCTGTTTCTAGGATCAAGGGTAGGGTTTATTCAGCCTTACGGAAAAGGGACAAGGGAAACATATCAGGGTGCACATGCATGTGGGTGCCAGCCTATCTTTTATAGGATGGGCCTGGGCATCTTTTAGAACAATGGTTTTATAGTTCACCTTATCTCTACCAGCTAAGCATCATTTCATGGCTTTTCTGGCCAACGAACATGTCTTTCCCTCATTTGTCTGGTCGGGAGGACATGGCTTTGCTTGATCCCATCATTTCCTGTTCTGTAAATATGGCCCTGTGGGTATTTCAGGCAAAAATCAGCAATCAATCATGCACTGGTCACTCTTTGGGACATCTAATCATAAAGCAAAGAGAAGGAGTGCAGAAGCGTTCTTTGCACGACTCAGGAATTTGAAAAAATAACACAACAGTTCAATTTCTGTCTCACAGAGTTATGTGGATTCCACTCAGACTTAACCACTTCAATTAAGCATCTGAAAGCGGTAACTCCAGCCGGAGATTGTTTTGGGTACTTTCTGGATTTCTTGAGTTTAGTTGTTTTTCAGATAAGAACAAACAAGTATCATCCGCTTGGAATGAGCCCCCGGTGGTGCAGTGGGTTAAACCCCTGTGCCGGCAGGACTGAAGACCAACAGGTCGCAGGTTCGAATCCAGGGAGAGGCGGATGAGCTCCCTCTATCAGCTTCAGCTCCTCATACGGGGACATGAGAGAATCCTCCCACAAGGAAGATAAAAACATCAAATCATCCAGGCATCCCCTGGGAAACATCCTTGCAGATGGCCAATTCTCTCACACCAGAAGCGACTTGCAGTTTCTCAAATCGCTCCTGACACGACAAAAAAATCCACTTGGAATGATTGTTAACATGGAAGAATTGCAAAATATTACTTTAGAAAGCATCTTTCCTGCAGGAAACAAGAGAAGCTCTTGATTCCACCAGACAGGTCTTTCTTACCTTGGATATCAGGATAAGCGACCATCAGGAGCAGTGCCCATTGGAGAGTACTGGAGGTGGTCTCTGTCCCAGCAATGAAGAGTTCCATAATGCATTGGGCCAGGTTGTCTTCACTGAAGGTAGAGTTGGCATCATCCTTACTCTGTTGTTGATAACAGAAAATATGGAACACTGTGGAACAGCAACCCTTGGAATCTGGATAAAGTGGGCTATCTGAGGCCCCATCTACACAGCCATATAATCCAGTTTGTTAATCCAGATTCTCTGCTTTGAACTGGATTATAAAGCAGCATAGACTCATATTCCAGTTCAAAGCAGATAATCCAAATTCAGAAGCTGGACTGTATTAATGTGGGAATATTGGAAATATTGGATATTTATACATATATTTTATGCACATTAGAAGCACTGAAATGTAGAAAAATCAGATTCTCTCTGTATTGGAAAGCTGACAGAACAAAAGGATGCTGAAGGATATCTGTGTTGAAAGGGGGAGGAGAAGGGGAGATTGTTATCTATATATTCCAGAGGTCTGGTGCAGCTTAGTACAGGCCGTGCCTCCTTACTTCTAAAAGGTCTCTTTCCCTCCCTCCTAACAGGTCAAAATAGGCCCCTTGATGGATCTGTGTAAGCTGAATCCTAGTATCTCTAACTTGCTGTAAGCTGAATGCACGAGACATGCCTTGTGCATGTAGAAAGATATAATTTAGTACTTCTATGATGCTTAAGGTGATGTAGTGATGATGTTAACGTATGTAGAAGCATGTTTCTTTGTTGCCTGCATTTGAGGATGTATAAAAAGGAAAGGCAATGCCTTTATACTCACTCTGGTTTGCTTTTGGAGGAGATTCCACGCCAGAGTCTCAGCTGAAAATAAAACATACTTTTCTGCCTCCACAAAGTATTGCTCTTGGTATTATCTCTCCTATCAGCTGCAAAAATATGGCAGTGTAGATTCAGGCTCCTTCTACACTGCCATATAATCCAGATTGTCAAAGCAGATCATCCACATTATCTGCTTTGAATTTGATTATCTGTCTACACTGTCATATAATCCAGTTCAAAGCAGATAAGATAGCAGACAGATCTCATGAGATAATTCTGGAAACTTACTTTTTCCATTTGAAGTAGATAGTAATCAATGAAATCCTGGGGATCATGCAGGTCCTGGTTTTCCTTGTGCTTCTGTATCTCCTCTTTTGCAAATGAAAGTGCCATTTTCACACAGGATAGTGTCCGTTGGTGAAGCCCTGGGAGATACTTCATGATCCAAGGGAAAGTGGTGTATAGCTACCCATTAAGACAAAAGAAAGCTCTGTTAGTGTCATAGTAACAGAACATATCTGCCCAATTATATGGTAATAGGGTATATCTGCCTAACCTTTTGTCATGATCTGAATTATTTTTGAGATTATGTCTGCAGAACTGTTGTGGGGATTCTTCAGAGTAGCTCCTGGATACCAGGCAGTACTTGTGGACAGAAGTACAGTTTACACACTTCTAATTTGTCTCCTTTCTCTTCTTATTTTTAGATAAATATTAGGGCTGTGTGATCAATCAAAATAATGTTTCAAAACTCATTACAAAATTAGAGGGCACTGGTGTTTTCTTTCTAAGATGTTTCTAAAGTGTTGTTAGTGAAAATTTCATTACTCTAACAACAGTAATAACAAAATGTCATTACTTTTTTCATTATAGGAATTGTGCAAGTAGGGAAGCTTCAGAGGCTCTTTTCTAGCTCATTTTACAGCTATTGGGTTGAAACTTGCTACAATAGTAGAACACATTTACCACTGTTAGCCCATCGAGTTTCAGAATGTTTCACTTATCCACAGGTTTTTGGGGAATTTTCAAAGTTTTATAAACAACATTTTTTTAAAAAACTACAAGAGCTATCTCCTTGAATTTTCTATACAATGACATGAGATAACAGGGAATCATTCCACCCAACGTTCAGAAATATCCATACATCTACTGATTTTAGGGAATTTTTTTAAAGTTTTGGCAAAAACATTTTTAAAAGCAACAATGTCTCACACATTAACCAACAGAACTTCCATTTAGGGATTTCTTCCCAGCCCAGCACAGAGATTTACTTACAAGATGTATCAGTCAGTCCATATATATGTGCATATATATGCTATGGATAACATAGGGAAAGGCTTGACGTGGAAACACCTTTTTCCCCATGATAATAACATATTCAGGAGTGAATTTCCCTTCTAGGGAGTAGATTTCTCCCACTTCCTGTTGTCTCACCCTCATTCTTAACTATTGAGTCGTTTGTGAGTTGGATGTTTGCAACTCAGGGACTACCTGTATATGAGTGTACACTGCCATGTAATCCAGTTCAAAGCAGATAATTTGGTAGCATAGGTCCAGCTCTAGATTACTAAACCACATTTGGTACTTGAGATGACATTAAAAGATAATTAAAGGCATTGCTGCCAGGACCTTAACTAGAACAGAGTTTAGCAAATAGAGCATATAAATATATATGTATGTGACAGATATAATATCATAGATTTGAAAGGGGCCCCTAAAGAAGGACAATTATATGTTGCATGTTCCAGAGTAGGCAAACCTAACAATCTCCACATCAACACTGACAAAGAAACATCAAGAAATACTGTTTACCCACAAACATAAAGAAATTACGTATTTTAGAAATCAATACTTTCTCATTACTTTATTTTCCAGATCACCAGACTGGGCCACAGCAACGTGTGGTAGGAAACGGCTAGACTACATATAAATTCGTCCATTTTCCCTGAAGGGTATCCAAATATTAACACTGGTTAGGTGTCTACTTGGGCACATAAACTTTACTTGGGGATGCCTTGAACGTAGGTATTCCTAAAACCAACGATGTGATTCTGGAATAGTGACACTTTCCTTCTTAGCAAAAGAACAGAGAGATGACTCACAGCATGAGAGAAGGAGACTCCAAATTGTGCCAAGGAATCAATGCTTTCCATCAGTTTCTGAAACATTTCATCTTCATGGGAAAATCTGTATCCAAAGCTCACGGTGCTTATCAAACTGGAGATGGCATTGCTGATGAACAGTGAAGGATCAAATGGCTGCCCTGTAAATAAATTGGTAGGCAGACCTCTTAGTATTATTCTACTTTACTTGTTAATGCCAATGTTTGAGATTCATGTGGAGTCAGAGATACAACTGTGACTGGCTGGAAATTTTTAATATTAAAATACAAGTGGGACTCAAAATTCATCAGGAGCGTTATCCCAGCGTAAACATCTAACATACCACCTGTTTGTGAAAAGGTCTCCACAAGCCGGCGGGCCTCTTCTTCAATTTGGAACTCCATTCCTTTCTTCCCCAGCCCCAGATTCCTCATAGTGATTATGCCAAATCGTCTCTGTTGTTTCCAGCCATGACCGTTTGCGAATCCAATGCCTACAACGATCAAGAAGAAACAATGAAAAAAATTACTGCTTGTCAATATCTTTGCCAAAATGTTAGGCTTCCAGTACAGAAAAAGTTTCTTGGCATTCAGCTCCAGACTAACCAGCTCTTTATGTATTTATCATATCAGAAATGAACCAAGGGTACAGTTTTAATGTATTTTTTACTTTAAAAAACGTTTTAATTTATTTAATTTATTTAATTTATTTATTTAGAACTTTTAATTCCCATTCTTTTCTACCTCCGTGGAGGGACTCAGAACGGCTAACAGCAAAATTCGATGCTATACAATAAATAATGTAATAAAACAACATACAATAAATAAGTTCTAAAATACATATAAAACAATTCATCATGTTAAAAACAACATCCATCTCAGTCCAGAACGTTGTGTTCAAATAACTCTATATCGGGCCATCCATCAATCTGCAAATGCCTGACTCCAAAGCCAAGATTTTAGCTGCTTCCTGAAGGACAGGAGAGATGGGGCAGAGCTAATCTCACCGGGGAGAGAGTTCCATAGCCGAGGGGCCACCACAGAGAAGACTGTGTCTCTCGTCCCCACCAAATGCACATGCGAAGGTGATGGGACCAAGAGCAGGGCCTCTCCTGAAGATCTTAAAGTCCTTGATTGTTTATGGGGAAAGATACATTCGACAGGTAAACCAGGCCAGAGCCGTATAGGATTTTGTAGGTTAAAACCAGGACTTTGAATTGTGCTCAGAAGCTAATTGGCAGCCAGTGGAGCAGGTGTAACAGGGACGTTGTGCACTCCCTGTACCCCACTCCCGTGAGCAACCTGGCTGCCGAGGGTTGGACTAGTTGGAGCTTCCGGACAGTCTTCAGAGGCAACCCCATGTAGAGTGTGTTGCAGTAGTCTATTCAGGATGTAACCAGAGCATGGACCACCTGCTTCTATTTGAGTGGGTCTGCTGCAAGGGTCAATATAAATTGCAATAGTTTTTTACTATGGCATTATATTAAATGTCCTTTAACCAGTAGCTGGCCACTTAGAGCGCCTCTGGTGTTGCTATAAGAAGGTCCTCCATTGTGCATGTGGCAGGGCTCAGGTTGCATGGTAATGGGTGGTCAGTGGTTTCCTCTTTTCCACACTCGCACATTATAGACTCCACTTTGTGGCCCCATTTCTGAAGGTTGGCTTTGCATCTCGTGGTGCCAGACCACAATCTGTTCATTGCCTTCCAAGTCGCCCAGTCTTCTGTGGGCCCAGGACAGATTCTCTTATTTGGTATCAGCCATGGATTGAGGTGCCGGGTTTTAGCCTGCCACTTTTGGACTCTTGTTTGCTGAGGTGTTCCTGAGAGTATCTCTGTAGATCTTAGAAAACTATTTCTTAATTTAAGGCATTGGCATGCAGGATTATATCCGAGCAGGGGATTGACCACTACTTCCCAGCCAATACCAATAATAACCAACTGAAAGTCGTAGATTCTTCCAAAGCTTTACAAGTGCAAGATTGATGGAGATTCTATATAGAATGATACTAAGAATTTTATCATATGAGGCAGACAAACTGACATTTTCCCAGCCAATACCAATAATAACCAACTGAAAGTCGTAGATTCTTCCAAAGCTTTACAAGTGTAAGATTGATGGAGATTCTATATAAAATGATACTAAGAATTTTATCATATGAGGCAGACAAACTGACATTTTAGCTGGACTGTCACCATGATAGTCCCTATCACATAACCCCACATACAAAAACATTAAAATCACCTATCTTGATGTTAAAATCCTCTGTTTAAAACTACCTCAAACAACCATATCTAATCTGGTTGGCATACTAAGAGTTCCTATCACTCCCTCATTGCACAGTCCCAAAGGTTTGGTCCCACAGCCAAGTTTTTACCATCCATCTAAAGGGCAGGAGAGAGGGGGCCAACCTGATCTCACCAGGAAGGGAGTTCCATAGCCAGGGAGCAATCACCGAGAAGGCCCTGTCTCTCATCCCCACCAATCGTGCCTGTGACAATGGCGGGACGGAAAGCAGGGCCTCCCTGGAGGATCTTAATCTCCACGATGGTTCATAGGGGGAGGTGCGTTTGGATAGGTAAATTGGGCTGGGCCCATTTGGGGCTTTAGAGGCCAAAGCCAGCACTTTGAATTGTGCCCAGTAGCAAACTAGCAGCCAGTGGAGCTGGTGGTAACAAGGGAGTTGTATGCTCCCTGCATGCCACTCCAGTTATTAACCTGGCTGCTTCTCACTGGACTATTTGAAGCTTCCAAGCATTCTTCAAAGGCAACCCCACGTATAGCTTGTTGCAGTAATCTAACCTAGATGTGATGAGAGTGTGGACCACCGTGGCCAAGTCTGACTTCCCAAGGTACAGGCACAACTGGTGCACAAGTTATACACATATCAATCATTTACTGATAATAAACCAGCTTTTGCATGACTTGCTAAACAGGCTGGTTTTCCTTGTTATTACGTACAGCCAAAGCATCTTCTATAAAGTAAACACTGAACAACAGATTCATGTAAATGTCTTAAATAACCACTAGGGGGCATTTGTAAAATGTTTAGTGTTGCCCCATTTGGAGTTGGGACCCACAGTTTTAGAAACAGTGGGTTGACCTATAAAGCCCTATATGGTTCTGGCCCAGCTTACTTGTCCAAACGCATCTCCCTCTACATCCCGCCTTGCAGTTTAAGACCATTCGAGGAGGCTCTGCTCTTGCTCCCACCAGCATCACAAATACGTCTGGGGGGGACGGGAGACAGGGCCTTCTCGGTTGTGGCCCCACACCTGTGGAACTCGCTTCCCACTGAGGGAAGATCAGCTCCATCCTTCTTGTCATTTAGGAAGAAATTGAAGTCATGGTTCTGGGACCAGGCTTTTGGACAACAGGCATAGATAGCACTTTGGACATGGAATTGGGTATGGAAGTGACTGGAATGATGTTACGGGTATTAATGCTGATTTTTACAGTTTTAATGGATGTTTTACTTATTGTTTTAATTGTTATTATATTGCTGTATTATATGTTGTTCTGGAATGGCTGTACCAGGAGCTCCAATTTTATTTGCTTTGTATTAAATGTTTGCTTGCAGTCCAAGGTTTCAGGGACTCTGCAGACTCTCCTTTGCTTGCAGTTATAGGGCAAGTCACCTGTCCATCATCATTAAGTTTTGGTTCCACCCCTTGCTCAGGGCAGTTGGGAAGGGAAGGGAGCCATTTTTAGTTAGTCTCAGCAAGGAAAGCTAATGTACAGGACGTGTGCAAGCTTCCCCTGTACAAAAGCTTCAACCCTTAAGACTTTCCGGGGGAAAACAGTCTTAAGAGCATCAAGACCTTCTGGGAGAGAACAGTCTTAAGAGTCTCCAAAGATTTCCAGGGAAACAGCCCTAAAGACCAAAGAACTCCAGCTGGAGAACATCTAAGGCTTTACTGGTAGGTCCACTCGGCGTTCGATAAGCAGTTCGACCCGGTAGCGGAGCCCACATCAGTAAGGGTTGGATTACAGTCAGCCTGGGAGAAGTTATAAAGGGGACTTTCCTTTAAAGTAAAGAAGAGGTTATTGAAGACACTTGCCTGTCCTTCGTGGGCAAGTTTAGAAAGCCACCAATTGCATAAAAGCCTGGAATCATTTGTTTAACTTTCTGAAAACAAGAGAAGTTTCTGTTTGATTGTTCATTAATAAAGGACTTTGTTATACTTCACAAGCCATCTAAAGATCATTTGTGGTGGAAAACCTCTGAGAACTTCTCCTTGGGCCCCTGGCTTCCCGCTAGGCAAAGGTCGCATGTCCTGATTTAAAGACAATTCTTTACAGGCCCAGCACGCGACAGAACATATGTAGTGGCATCGAATTGCAGAATAGCAGTTTGGTGTGATAGAGTCCTCTGCCTTTCATACTGGAGTATCTTTTTAGAGAGGAAGCAGACAGGCAGGCAGACATTCAGGATTGGGCTATGTATGCATTTCATTCTCCACTCAGAGGGTGTTAACAATCTCTGTATGGTGGTAATGGAAACCATGAATCAGATGCTCACAGGAACTCCTGCATTTGGCAGTGGCACCCAGACGTTCAGTCTCTGAGCAGCTCTACAGATAGCGATTGCTGTTAAGAATCTGCTGTGACATTAATTGAGTAATTCCGGTGACACAGATTTAATGTTTAGCTATGTCCACGCCTATATTACTATATATCTTTAAACACCAATGTGTATCTGTCTGCAATCCAACAGGGTTGGGTGTCCAAGATAAGGGTACTCTGTTTTCTTCATGATGCAAACACATGCCTTAAAAATGTGTATACATCATGTGAGTGACATTCAGAAGTTGTGCATCATGCGGCATAGAACTATTCTTAATCATCAGGCAAGAGGGGAGGGAAAGTCGTGTCTCTCTTCATCCAGAAGGATGGGCCAAGGACAACTTCCTTCTAGAAAACCAGCTTTTTCAACTCTTTCCTCAGTCTTCTATAAGAAGGACCTAAGGCAGTAGTTCTCAACGTTCCTAATGCCGTGACCCCTTAATACAGTTCCTCATGTTGTGTTGACCCCCAGCAATTAAAATTATTTTCATTGCTACTTCATAACTGTAATTTTGCTACTGTTATGAATTGTAATGTAAATATGATATGCAGGATGTATTCTCATTCACTGGACCAAATTTGGCACAAATACCCAATATGCCCACATTTGAATACTGGATTTTGTCATTTGGGAGTTGTAGTTGCTGGGATTTATAGTTCACCTACATTCAAAGAGCATGCTGAACTCCACCAACGATGAAATTGGACCAAACTTGGCACACAGAACTCCCATGACCAACAGAAAATACTGGAAGGGTTTGGTGGGCATTGACCTTGGGTTTTGGAGTTGTAGTTCGCCTACATCCAGAGAGCACTGTGGACTCAAACAATGATGGATCTGGATCAAACTTGGTATGAATATTCAATATGTGAACACTGGTGAAGTTCGGGGGAAATAGACCTTGACATTTGGGAGTTGTAGTTGCTGGGATTTATAGTTCACGTACAACCAAAGAGCATTCTGAAGCCCACCAACGATAGAATTAGGCCAAATTTCTGACGAACCCGCCCCCTTTCTTCTCTCTGCCCGGCCACACCATTGCCGAGGCTCGCGGCGCTCACCATTGCTGCTGTGGCAATCTCCACCGCCAGTAATAATTGACATCATATTGCGACTGTTTGGGCTCAAATAAAACTTTACATCGTGGACAGAGAGTCTAAACAGAAAACCGGAAGTTTTGTCCCCTCATGAATCAGGGTTTTAATGGTAATTGGCCGAGTCCTATAGCTAAGAACTAGTATCCGTTCTCCTATACTGCCCTCTGTGGCCTAGATAAAAAGTGCAATAATTGTATCACACAAGTGACAATTTTTGAAACGTGCTGTTAATTAAGAACTATTGCAGATGCTGCCCTCACTACGCAGACTACCATCAGTTCTGCTGGAGAACTCCCCACTCAAGACGATTAAGAAGACCGGAGGATCCGCCCCTGGGTGCCGGTTTGTTGCTCCACGGGCCTAGGGAGTGAGGTTTCCTGGTGTGATTTGTTGTCTCGATTTAGTGGTAGGAAAGTGTTAACTTGAAAACCAGTTAACTCTGCATCAACTATCCAGCACAAGTCACTTTAGAATATCCAGCACGAAGTCACTTTAGTGTAAGCACTTTGGTCCTTATATCAGAATTTATATCTTCATGCTTTTTATGCACTTTATGCTCTACTCTGGGTTCCCTTACTAAGTAAACCTATTACTGTTAAACATCGATATATTATCGCTATTTTTACATCAATGCTTGCACTGTCTTTATTGTTGTTGCTGTCCCTCCAATCTTTAGCACAAGTGCACTTTAGAACAACTATAGCACAAGTGCACCTTATTCCAGCTTTAGCACGAGTGCACTTTATAGTCCTTGAGGGGATGGTCAACACTAAGGAATGGTATCTCCGGAACCCAGAGTCAGACAACAAGAATGGTAAGCATGTGCCTACATATGAGATTGCAATTGCTGGAGACGAAGGGAATATCCCCGGGGGGGTTGGGGCCGCGGGTGGAGGAGCCGCCATAGAGGTGGTGACTGGTAAGGGGAGATACGGGAAAGGGAGATTAAAAATACCAATCCGGCCCAAAATTTATAGCAATAAATTGGCTACCACTAAAGATGTTAGAAATCAAAGGCTAAAGCAAATTCGACCCAAAATTTTCAATAGGACATTGGCAATTCCAAAAATTAACACCACTATTCGGCCCGAAATTAATAAAAACAGATTGGCAATTCCAAAATCTACTCCCGACAAAATACAACTGAGGTGCCAAGATGGTGGCCCCTCCAGGCTAAAGGTGGTGCTGTTCAATGCCAGGTCGGTAAATGGAAAAACTTCCATCATACAAGATCTAATCCAAGAAGAGCAAGCCGACCTGGCCTGTATAACGGAGACCTGGCTGGACGAGGGGGGGGGGTCAATCTCTCCCAACTTTGTCCACCAGGTTACACTGTTCAGCACCAACCAAGGCTTGGAGGGCGGGGAGGCGGAGTCGCAGTGGTCTATAAGGACTATATCCCACTGATCAGGTGTCCCATCCCACAAACATCTTTCTTTGAATGTGCCGGCTTCAGGATAGGTGACCGGGACAGGATAGGGATTCTTGTAGTGTACCGACCACCCCGCTGCACTACAGTCTCCCTACCTGAGCTAGCGGGAGTGGTCTCGGACATGGTGTTGAACTCCCAACGGCTTTTGGTCCTGGGAGATTTCAACATCCATGCCGAGGCCACTCTCTCCGGAGCGGCTCAGGACTTTATGGCCGCCATGGCAACCATGGGCCTGTCCCAACTAATATCTGGTCCCACCCATAGTGCCGGACACACCTTAGATCTGGTCTTTATGCAGGGATGGGACGAGGGTGACGGAATGGAGGAGCCAACCATCGCCCCTTTGCCATGGTCCGATCACCACCTGATCAGTTTTAGACTAACTGTGCCTTCTAACCTCCGCAGGGGTGGTGGACCCATTAGAACGGTCCGCCCCAGGAGACTGATGGATCCAAATGGTTTCCTGACGGCTCTTGGGGATTTTTCCACCTTCTTGGCTAGCGATACTATCGATGCTCTGGTCTCTGGCTGGAATAGTGAGTTGACCAGGGCAATTGATACTATCGCCCCGGAACGCCCCCTCTCGAGTAACCGAGCTAAACCAGCTCCTTGGTTTACTGAGGAGCTGGCAGCAATGAAGCGAAAGAAGAGGAGGCTAGAGCGCGTGTGGCGCCAGAATCCGACTAAATCAGCCCAAACACATCTGAATGCCTTTCTAAGGTCCTACGGTGTGGCAATAGAGGCAGCGCAAAAAACATCCTTTGCCGCCAATATTGCATCTGCGAAGAATCGTCCAGCTGAGCTCTTTCGAGTTGTCAGGGGTTTGTTAAATCCGCCGAAAAGCGAGATCCCTGACAGCTCGGGAGCTCGCTGTGAAGCGTTTGCTCGATTTTTCGCAGATAAAATTGGGCGGATCCGGTCGGATTACACCATGTTAACGGCAGTCTCTGGGGATGTAACGAGAGCATCTGCTTGTCCAGTTTTGTTGGATTATTTCAATTGGTTCAGCTTGAGGATGTGGACAGGATCCTTGGAGAGGTGCGACCCACCACATGCATCCTAGACCCCTGCCCTTCCTGGCTGATCAAGGAAGCCAGAGGGGGTTTGGCGGGGTGGGTGAAGGTGATGGTTAATACCTCCTTACAGAAAGGAGAGTTTCCAGCGAGCCTAAAACAGGCTATTATAAAACCGCTGTTGAAGAAACCATCACTGGATCCCACTCAATTCGACAACTATCGGCCAGTTTCCAATCTCCCTTATTTGGGCAAAGTCATGGAACGTGTGGTGGCAACACAACTCCAGGAATTTCCCACACAGAATTCCCATGACCAACAGAAAATACTGTCTGTGAGGGTCTTTGGCGACCCCTCCGACACCCCCTTGCGACCCCTCTAGGGGTCCCGACCCCCAGGTTGAGAACCACTGACCTAAGGCCATAGATGGGGCCATTATCACAAGAGGCTCATAACATTTTTTTTAGTCATAACATCGATTTTTAGCAAGAGTTGCAGTTGAGTTATCCGATTCTTTTAAAATATGGGCAACATTTGCATTTAGGGTGGCCAGATAAAAAGAAGGGAGAAAGATCCTGGCCTCTTCTACACTGCCATATAATCCAGATTATCTGCTTTGAACTGGATTATATGAATCTACACTTCCATATAATCCAGTTCAAAGCAGATAATCTGGATTTTATACGGGACTATAAGAGGGGCCTTAAATGTTGCATACAAGAAGGCATTTCCACAAGTGTTTTTTGTTTTGTTATGGTATGTTGTGTTTTATTTTGGTTTTTTGCATAGCAACATTTTTTATTTAAAGGCACTTACCCTTTCTGTTAAAGGCATGTAAAACAAAATAGGTCACTGGTCGGTCAGCTAGCGTTTCCGAATGGTTGATCAAGCCTTCTTTAACTATTTGGAATCCAGACAGAATTACGATGGGGAAAGGTCCTATCCATATCGTGGCAAAATTTCCATATTTCTGAGTGAACTGTCATTGGTAGAAAACATAAAGATAAATGTCATTTTTCTGTATTTCAGCAAAGCATTAGCAAAGAGACTAAATATGGAATACCATAGATTGAAACACCATCTAATGTTTCCATTTGATTACTCCATAATTAATTGGAAAAACAACATCAAGGAACTAGTGTCAGAGCAGTGCTTCAAACTGGAAGGAAATCCCAAGTAGAAGGCTGCGAGGTTCTTTCTTTGGCCTGACACTCTCGAGTATTTTCATCTGTGATTTTGATAGCAGGATGGGTAAGAGCCTAACAAAGGCCCCATCTATGCTGCCATATAAAATCCAAATTATCTGCTTTGAACAGGATTATATGGCAATGTAGACTCAGGGCCCTTCTACACAGGCCCTAAAATGTGGAAGAAACAGGGATAAAAGGGAGGGTGGCTACATTAACAGCTGAAAAAATTGTTATAAAGTAGAGATGTGCATGATACCATTTCACAATACTGGATTCAGGGAAATTCATTGATTTGGCTGCCTTACCTCTGAAAACAAACCAGACGAGGGGTATCTGAAGACTCAACAAGAAACAGATCATGAGAGTCTGATCTTTAGGCGAATGGAGGCAAGGGGGCTGAGTGGCACTCTATCTGAGGCAAGGGCTGTGGCATGTGGGCAAGCTCACAAATCAGGCAGGAGCAGGTCCATGGCAGTGGCAGCTCCTCTTCTTTCTTCCCTGGCAGACTTCTCCATCCCTTCCTGAACCCCCCCCCCCCCCAAGCTGGAGTGCCCACTTGAGGCAAATAAGGTTGGGAAGAGAGGGGGGGGGGGTTCCCTAGACTTCTAGTCCAGAGAGGGCCCACTGGGAGCTCGCTTTCCAAGCAGCATGTTGTGCAGCATGGGCATTGGAGGAGCCTCTACGCTCCCTTCTGCAGCATGAGGGGAGTTGAGGTTTTTCTCTCTGTGTGCTTCTCAAGTTTCTTTCTCAGCCAATCAGAGTGCTGGTTGACTCTGTCCATTGTCCTCTCCTCTTGTGGTGTGTGCTGGTTGGGATTTCAATTCCCAGAACCCCCTGTAATGAACTCATACCTTTGTTTTGAGGGCCGCAGCTTGGGAGTCAGTGAGCAGGCCTCCATGTTGGGAGGGCAGCTCAGGATAGCTGACATTTTGGTAAGGCAGAGAGGCAAGGGGAGGAGTCAGCTAACTCCTGATTGGCTCAAACCCCTAGGGGAGGAGTTGAAGGAGTGTGTAAAAAGGCTGTACTTTCTGTCAGAGGGGGAGAAGAATGATTTGATCTAGAAGAGAGATGGTTTTGATCCAAGAAAAAGAAGAGGGATTTGATCTGAAAGAGATAGGATTAGGATTTTTAGGCAGGGAGAAGAGAGTTGCTGAGCGAGTTAAGAATTAGACTGATAGGGAATAATAGAGGGCAAGTGCTTCAGGGTACTTTGGCTTGGGTAGTCAAAGTGAAGGCTTGTTGACTTGTATTGAGAGAGAATACAAGTGGGTTTATTTCCCTACAGTGCAGAGTAGTCTAGAAGGAACCTAGTTACTCTTGCAGGCAGCCAGGGCGGCTGGCCTAAGAAACACACTGTTACTTGTTATAGGGATAGTGTGAGGAAAGTAACTCACATAAAAGAAAAGTTACTCCTTCTTAAGCAACCATTTGTTTTATTAGTCTGTGCCTCAGAAACCAACTACGCATATTATGTACCTCTCAATAATGAGTTGTCTGTTTCAAATATTTCAATAAACATGTTCTCTAATTTACTTTTAATCTGCCTCAGCCTTGTTTTGTCATATAAAGCCAGATACAGTCAGCCTCTACATCTCTGCAGTCCATTCATAGGAAAGGGAGCCAAAAAGAAGGACCGGTGTATAGGGACATTTTACCACAAGTATATCATCTAGTTAATTCCTCAATCAGAAGTTTGAGGTGGTGGCAGCAAACCTACCATATACACACACCTTTCTCTCTCATCACTTGTAACACCCTCGCATATTCCTGTCACACAGGAGCAATAAGAGGCCCTGATCTCCTAACTCCCATTACACCCCTCTTCTGGGATTTTTTAAAAAATGTTATGGTAAAAATAATTGGATTGGTGAAACATTCTGAAGTTTGGCAGGCTTCAAGTTGTAAATGTGGCCTACAAGTGAGGCAGTTTCATCCTAAAAACGATAAATGAGCCTCTAAAGTTTCCCCATTGATGCCAATGTATTGAATCTTACCAGCATGAAAACAGCACCCCCTCCCAATTTCAGGCATTTCTTGATAAACAGAAAGGGGGTGGACAGCCAAGCCACACACCACTATTAAAAAGGTGAACTTAAAATCCAAAAGGAAAGGAGAAGAAGTAATTATATGAATTGTAGAGATGCGGGGGGGGGGGGGGGGGGGGGGGGGGGGGGGTTATGAAATGAATAGAAATGCAATAAAAATATTATTAATGTGTTAAATATATACTTCAAAGACAGAGCTCAATGAACAGGGAAGAAATGCCTCTGAAGAAAAAAATTCAAATTTTGGCTGAAAAATGCGCATATTTGCATCACTGTATACCCTGCAAAGGATACTCCAGCAAAGGATCACCGCCTTGTCGGGGCGCTGGAGCTTGAGCACCTCAATGATGTCATGAGCGAAACCGTTAAGGGACACCCAAGACGGGACGGTTGTGGCAGAGAGGTCAGACCAAGCGTGATCCCTGGGGAAGCAATGGCAAACCACTCCAGTATCCTTGCCAAGAAAACTAAATGGACCAGTACAACCAGAGATATGTCGGTATGCCATTGGAAGATGGGACTCCCAGGTCGGAAGATGGCCAAAATGCTACTGGGGAGGAGCAGAGGATAAGTTCAACTAGCCCCAGATGTGATGACGCAGCTAGCTCAAAGCCGAAAGGAAGGCTAGCGGCCGACGGTACTGGAGGTGAACGACGAATCCGATGCTCTAAAGATCACACACCATAGGAACCTGGAATGTAAGATCTATGAGCCAGGGCAAATTGGATGTTGTTATTGGTGAGATGTCAAGACTAAAGATAGACATTCTGGGGGTCAGCGAACTGAAATGGACTGGAATGGGCCACTTCACATCAGATGAACACCAGATCTACTACTGCGGACAAGAGGAACATCGAAGAAATGGAGTAGCCTTCATAATTAATAAGAAATTCGCTAAAGCGGTGCTTGGATACAACCCAAAAAATGACAGAATGATCTCAATTCGAGTGCAAGGAAAGCCTTTCAACATTACAGTGATCCAAATATATGCCCCCACCACAGCTGCTGAAGAAGCAGAAGTAGATCAGTTCTATGAGGATCTGCAGGACCTACTGGATAATACACCAAAAAGAGACATTATTTTCATTACAGGAGACTGGAATGCCAAGGTGGGAAGTCAAATGACAACTGGGATCACAGGCAAGCATGGTCTGGGAGAACAAAATGAAGCGGGACGCAGGCTGATAGAATTTTGCCAGGAAAACTCGCTGTGTATAACGAATACTCTCTTCCAACAACCTAAAAGACGGCTTTACACATGGACCTCACCAGACGGTCAACACCGAAATCAGATTGACTACATCCTTTGCAGCCAAAGGTGGCGGACATCCATCCAGTCGGTGAAAGCAAGACCTGGGGCTGACTGTAGCTCAGATCACGAACTTCTTATTGCCCAATTTAGAATAAAACTAAAGAGATCAGGGAAAATACACAGACCAGTTAGATATGATCTCACTAACATTCCTAGCGAATATACAGTGGAAGTGAAGAACAGATTTGAAGGACTAGATTTAATAAACAGAGTCCCAGAAGAACTATGGACAGAAGTCCGAGACATTGTTCAGGAGGCGGCAACAAAGTACGTCCCAAAGAAAAAGAAAACCAAGAAGGCAAAATGGTTGTCTGCTGAGACACTGGAAGTAGCCCAAGAAAGGAGGAAAGCAAAAGGAAACAGGGATAAGGGGAGATATGCCCAGTTAAATGCGCAATTCCAGAGGTTAGCCAGAAGAGATAAGGAACTATTTTTAAATAAGCAATGCATGGAAGTGGAAGAAGACAACAAAATAGGAAGGACAAGAGACCTCTTCCAGAAAATTAGAAACATTGGAGGTAAATTTCAGGCAAAAATTGGTATGATAAGAAACAAAGATGGCAGGGACCTAACAGAAGCTGAAGAGATCAAGAGAAGGTGGTGAGACTATACAGAAGATCTGTATAGGAAGGATAATAATATTGAGGATAGTTTTGACGGTGTGGTGAATGAATTAGAACCAGACATCCTGAGGAGTGAGGTTGAATGGGCCTTAAGAAGCATTGCTAATAACAAGGCAACAGGAGATGATGAGATCCCAGCTAAACTGTTTAAAATCTTGAAAAGATGATGCTGTCAAGGTGATGCATGCCATATGCCAGAAAATATGGAAAACACAAGAATGGCCATCAGACTGGAAAAAATCAACTTATACCCCCATACCAAAAAAGGGAAATGCGAAAGACTGCTCAAACTTCCGTACAGTGGCCCTTATTTCTCATGCCAGTAAGGTAATGCTCAAGATCCTGCAAGGAAGACTCCAGCAATACATGGAGCGAGAGTTGCCAGATGTTCAAGCTGGGTTTAGAAAAGGGAGAGGAACGAGAGACCAAATTGCCAATATCCGCTGGATAATGGAGAAAGGCAGGGAGTTTCAGAAAAACATCTACTTCTGCTTCATTGACTATTCTAAAGCCTTTGACTGTGTGGATCATAATAAATTGTGGCAAGTTCTTAGTGGGATGGGCATCCCAAGCCACCTTGTCTCTCTCCTGAGGAATCTGTACAAGGACCAAGTATCAACAGTCAGAACTGACCACGGAACAACAGACTGGTTCAAGATTTGGAAAGGCGTACGGCAAGGCTGCATCCTCTCACCCAACCTTTTTAACTTGTATGCAGAACACATCATGCGATGTGCGGGGCTTGATGAATGCAAGGCTGGGGTGAAAATTGCTGGAAGAAACATTAACAACCTTAGATATGCAGATGA